AGTGACTGTACTCAGTGTAACAGTGACTGTACTCAGTGTAACAGTGACTGTACTCAGTGTAACAGTGACGTACTAGTGTAACAGTGACTGTACTTAAAATGTATACAGTGACTGTACTCAGTGTAACAGTGACTGTACTCAGTGTAACAGTGACTTGCTCAGTGTAACAGTGACTGTACTTAGTGTAACAGTGACTGTACTCAGTGTAACAGTGACTGTACTTAGTGTAACAGTGACTGTGCTCAGTGTAACAGTGACTGTACTCAGTGTAACAGTGACTGTACTCAGTGTAACAGTGACTGTACTCAGTGTAACAGTGACTGTACTCAGTGTAACAGTGACTGTAAGTACTTCAGTGTAACAGTGACGTACTCAGTGTAACAGTGACTGTACTCAGTGTAACAGTGACTGTACTCAGTGTAACAGTGACTGTACTTACTGTAACAGTGACTATGCTCAATGTAAGTGACTGTACTCAGTGTAACAGTGACTGTACTCAGTGTAACAGTGACTGTACTCAGTGTAACAGTGACTGTACTCAGTGTAACAGTGACTGTACTCAGTGTAACAGTGACTGTACTTAGTGTAACAGTGACTGTGCTTAGTGTAAAAGTGACTGTACTCAGTGTAACAGTGACTGTACTCAGTGTAACAGTGACTGTACTCAGTGTAACAGTGACTGTACTCAGTGTAACAGTGACTGTACTCAGTGTAACAGTGACTGTACTCAGTGTAACAGTGACTGTACTCAGTGTAACAGTGACTGTACTCAGTGTAACAGTGACTGTACTCAGTGTAACAGTGACTGTAAATCAGTGTAACAGTGACTGTACTTTAGTGTAACAGTGACTGTACTCAGTGTAACAGTTACTGTACTCAGTGTAACAGTGACTGTACTCAGTGTAACAGTGACTGTACTCAGTGTAACAGTGACTGTACTCAGTGTAACAGGTACTGTACTCAGTGTAACAGTGACTGTACTCATGTAACAGTGATATGCTCATGTAAGTGACTGTACTCAGTGTAACAGTGACTGTACTCAGTGTAACAGTGTACTGTAACAGTTATTAACAGGGACTGTACTCAGTGTAACAGGTACTGTACTCATGTAACAGGTACTGTACTTCAGTGTAACAGTACTGTGCTCAGTGTAACAGGACTGTCTCAGTGTAACAGGTACTGTACTCAGTGTAACAGTACTGTACTCAGTGTAACAGTGACTGTACTCAGTGTAACATGACTGTACTCAATGTACAGTGACTTACTCAGTGTAACAGGTACTGTACTCAGTGTAACAGTGACTGTACTCAGTGTAACAGTGACTGTACTCAGTGTAACAGTGACTGTACTCAGTGTAACAGGACTGTACTCAGTGTAACAGTTACTGTACTCAGTGTAAGAGTTACTGTACTCAGTGCAACAGTGACTGTACTCAGTGTAACATGACTGTACTCAGTGTAACAGGTACTGTACTCAGTGTAACAGTTTTTGTACTCAGTGTAACAGTACTGTACTCAGTGTATACAGGTACTGTACTCAGTGTAACAGTGACTGTACTCAGTGTAACAGGATGTACTCAGTGTAACAGTGACTTTTACTCAGTGTAACAGGTGACTGTACTCAGTGTAACAGTGACTGTACTCAGTGTAACAGGTACTGTACTCAGTGTAACAGGTACTGTACTCAGTGTAACAGGTACTGTACTCAGTGTAACAGGTACTGTACTCAGTGTAACAGGTACTGTACTCAGTGTAACAGGTACTGTACTCAGTGTAACAGTGACTGTACTCAGTGTAACAGTACTGTACTCAGTGTAACAGTGACTGTACTCAGTGTAACAGGTGACTGTACTCAGTGTAACAGTGACTGTACTCAGTGTAACAGGTACTGTACTCAGTGTAACAGTGACTGTACTCAGTGTAACAGTACTGTACTCAGTGTAACAGTGACTGTACTCAGTGTAACAGGTACTGAACTCAGTGTAACAGGTACTGTACTCAGTGTAGCAGTGACTGTATCTCAGTGTAACAGGTACTGTACTCAGTGTAACAGGTACTGTACTCAGTGTAACAGTACTGTACTCAGTGTAGCAGGTACTGTACTCAGTGTAACAGTGACTGTACTCAGTGTAACAGGTAATGTACTCAGTGTAACAGTGACTGTACTCAGTGTAACAGTACTGTACTCAGTGTAACAGTGACTGTACTCAGTGTAACAGGTACTGTACTCAGTGTAGCAGTGACTGTACTCAGTGTAACAGGTACTGTACTCAGTGTAACAGTGACTGTACTCATTGTAACAGTACTGTATCAGTGTAACAGGACTGTACTCAGTGTAACAGTGACTGTACTCAGTGTAACAGTGACTGTACTCAGTGTAACAGTGTACTGTACTCCCGTGTAACAGAGTACTGTACTCAGTGTAACAGGACTGTACTCAGTGTAACAGTTACTGTACTCAGTGTAACAGGTACTGTACTCAGTGTAACAGGTACTGTACTCAGTGTAACAGTGACTGTACTCAGTGTAACAGTGACTGTACTCAGTGTAACAGGTACTGTACTCAGTGTAACAGTCTGACCGTACTCTAGTGTAACAGTGACTGTACTCAGTGTAAAAGTGACTGTAAATCAGTGTAACAGTGACTGTACTCAGTGTAACAGTGACTGTACTCAGTGTACAGTAATGTACTCAGTGTAACAGTGACTGTACTCAGTGTAAAAGTACTGTAACTCAGTAGTAACAGTGACTGACTCAGTGTAACAGTACTGTACTCAGTGTAACAGGACTGTACTCAGTGTAACAGTGACTGTACTCAGTGCAACAGTGACTACTCAGTGTAACAGTGACTGTACTCAGTGTAACAGTGACTGTACTCAGTGTAACAGTGACTGTACTCAGTGTAACAGTGACTGCTACTCGTGTAACAGTGACTGTACTCAGTGTAACAGTGACTGTACTCAGTGTAACAGTGGACTGTACTCAGTGTAACAGTGACTGTACTCAGTGTAACAGTGACTGTACTCAGTGTAACGGTACTGTACTCAGTGTAACAGTACTGTACTCAGTTAACAGGGGACTGTACTCAGTGTAACAGTGACTGTACTCAGTGTAACAGTGACTGTATCATGTAACAGTGACTGTACTCAGTGAACAGTGATGACTCAGTGTAACAGTGACTGTACTCAGTGTAACAGTGACTACTCAGTTTTAACAGTGACTGTACTCAGTGTACAGTGACCTAACTCAGTGTAACAGGGGACTGTACTCAGTGTAACAGTGACTGTACTCAGTGTAACAGTACTGTACTCAGTGTAACAGTACTGTAATCAGTTGTAAAGGACTGTACTCAGTGAACAGTGACTACTCAGTGTAAAAGATGACTGTTTTCTCAGTGGTAACAGTGACTGTATCAGTGTACAGTGACTGTACCTCAGTACCTGTAACAGTGACTATCAGTGTCAGTGACTGTACTAGTGTAACAACTGACCTTACTACTTACAGTGTACAGTATGTACTCAGTTGGGACACCAGTGCACATGATGTATCTGTAACAGTGACGTATCAGTAACATGGACTGTACTCAGTGTAACATGACTGGTACATGTAATAACCATGAATGTGACTCAGTGGTAAAAGTGACTGTACTCAGTGTAACATACTGTATCATTTATATTTATGTGCATACAGTGATTTCTCGTGTAACAGTGACTGTTAAATCAGTGTAACAGTACTGTACTCAGTGTAAATGACTGTTATCAGTGTAACAGTGACTGACTCAGTGTAACAGTGACTGTACTCACTATACAGTGACTGTACTCAGTGTAACAGTGACTGTACTCAGTGTAACAGTGACTGTACTCAGTGTAAAAGTACTGTATCAGTGAACAGTACTGTACTCAGTGTAACAGTGACTGTACTCATGTAACAGTGACTGTACTCAGTGTAACAGGACTGTACTCAGTGTTACAGTGACTGTACTCAGTGTAACAGTACTGTACTACAGATATAACAGGATGTATATGACGTACTGACAGTGAAAGTACGTGGGGGTACAGTTTGTCAGAGCAGGTGGCTACCTCACTGGGGACAGGGATAACTAGGGACGTGAGGCAGGTTACTGGGGAGCCCGGGGACAGGTACTGACCTGGGCAGGACTGTACAGTGTGCAGAGCACCAGTGGGGACTGACAGGGACAGAGAGACCAGGGTAACAGGTGGGCAGATACCACCTGGGAAGGGGCAGAGAGCACCCCAGGTAGACAGGAGGATCAGTGGGCAGACGACACCTGGGTAAAAGGGGGCTGCACCCGTGACGGGGACGAGCTCACCTGGAGACAGGGGGCTGACCACTGGGAACAGGACTGATCAGTGCAAACAGGGGGGCTGACCTACAGGGGGCAGACAGCTACCTGAACAGTGAGATCAGTGAACAGTGAGTCTCACAACAGTGAGCACCTCAGTGTTAGCTGAGTGACTGACGTCAAACATCTACTCAGTGTAACTTGACTGTACCAGTTACAGGTGATGTATCAGTTAAATAACTGTACTAAAACAATCAAAATCTACTGTAAACTTTAATATGTTACAATCTATACATAACTGTACCACTTATATGATTTTTATGTAAAATAATCATATATATATATTTGAATGTATAAACTAATTTTATTATAACTCACGAAATATATATAATATATATATATATATTATATATTATAATATATATAATATATATATATACTTATCAAAGTAAATATATTATATAATAGATACGATAGATAGATAGATAGAAGAAATTTAAGGCACTTTAAAATTATATATATATATGTTTATATATATAGTATATATTTTATATATATATAGGTATTTTAATATATATATATTATATATATATATATATATATAATATATATACTAAAATTAGTATATAGACGACTGATAAAGCTCGTGGAGAGCGAAGCACCCGTGGGAGCAGTGGCAATAAAATGTGGCAGAGTTGCACTTGTGTCCTTTACTTAAGGACGGTGTATATGTGAGGTTGAGTGAGTCAGATGTGTGGCTGGTGTTGACACTGTCAGATAAAGACACATGTGCCACACGTGTGTGTCTTTCTTGATGCCACACAGTACACTTCTTCAGTCAGATACAGAGGCAGCAGGTGTAGTAGTGAATTGAGGATTATGTAATTAGTCCCTCAGTCTGGAGAAGAGTTGACCTCCATGGAACTCAACTCTTCTCCAGGCTGAGGGACTGACCATCTCATATCTCCAGGCTGAGGGACTGACCATCTCATATCTCCAGGCTGAGGGACTGACCATCTCATATCTCCAGGCTGAGGGACTGACCATCTCATATCCCCAGGCTGAGGGACTGACCACCTCATTTCTCCAGGCTGAGGGACTGACCACCTCATATCTCCAGACTGAGGGACTGACCACCTCATTTTTCCAGGCTGAGGGACTGACTACTTTCTCTCCAGTCCACTACTACTACTACTACACCTGCTGCCTCTGTATTTGACTGAAGATACCCAATTCAACTAGTCGGTATTTCATCCCATTTTCAACCTAACTTACAAACAGTCGCACCAAAACAACTGTAAATGATTTACGAATGTTTAAACACTGATCGTCAGTCGTGAAAAAACAGTTAATTGATTTCTGATATCGTGTTGACGCGGGTTTAACTTGAGGCGTCCACAAGTCGGGGACCTCCCGTGTTATCCTTCGGTGTCTGTGCGGGTGTTGAGTAGCGGGTGTTGGCAGTTGTCTAAGCCAGCAACAGTGCCAGCAACAGTGACAACCCTCCCAGGAACCCGGATATACAGTGACCTGAAAACAAAAGAGTACAAATATAAAATCATACCAGAGTACATTTACTGGTGTCACTATCCCTCTAGTACTAGTGAGTACTTACTGGTGTCACTGTCCCTCTAGTACTAGTGACTCCTTACTAGTGTCACTGTCCCTCTAGTATTAGTGACTCCTTACTAGTGTCACTGTCTCTCTAGTACTAGTGGGTACTCACTGGTGTCACTGTCGCTCTAGTACTAGTGACTCCTTACTAGTGTCACTGTCCCTCTAGTACTAATGACTCCTTACTAGTGTCATTGTCTCTAGTACTAGTGAGTACTACTAGTGTCACTGTCCCTCTAGTACTAGTGAGTACTTACTAGTGTCACTGCCCCTCTAGTACTAGGGAGTAATTACTAGTGTCACTGTCCCTCTAGTACTAGTGAGTAATTACTAGTGTCACTGTCCCTCTAGTACTAGTGAGTACTTACTGGCGTCACTGTCCCTCTAGTACTAGTGACCCCTTACTAGTGTCACTGTCCCTCTAGTACTAGTGAATACTTACTGGTGTCACTGTCCCTCTAGTACTAGTGACCCCTTACTAGTGTCACTGTCCCTCTAGTACTAGTGAGTACTTACTAGTGTCACTGTCCCTCTAGTACTAGTGAGTACTTACTAGTGTCACTGTCCCTCTAGTACTAGTGACTCCTTACTGGTGTCACTGTCCCTCTGGTACTAGTGAGTACTTACTAGTGTCACTGTCCCTCTATTACTAGTGACTCCTTACTGGTGCCACTGTCCCTCTGGTACTAGTGAGTACTTACTAGTGTCACTGTCCCTCTATTACTAGTGACTCCTTACTGGTGCCACTGTCCCTCTGGTACTAGTGAGTACTTACTAGTGTCACTGTCCCTCTATTACTAGTGACTCCTTACTAGTATCACTGTCCCTCTGGTACTAGTGAGTACTTACTAGTATCACTGTCCCTATGGTACTAGTGAGTACTTACTAGTGGCACTGCTCCTTGGGGAAGTAGATGGCAGTACTCTATTCAGTGCCACCATCATCTCAGTGTTGAACTGTGCCATCTGGTCCGGGGTGATGGCAGCGGCAGTAGATGGACTCAAGTTCTGGATCTGTGCCACCTTCAGTGCCTGCAACAAGGAGAGCTCTTGATCCACTGACTTGGAATCACTCTCTTCTCCCCCCCCCTCCCCTCGGATCAAAGCTGGTTACTACATGGTACTTCCCCTACTCTCTTAAATAATAATAATAATAATAATAATAATAATAATAATAATAATAATAATAATAATAATAATAATAATAATAATATTAATAATTATAATTTTATTTCTTGTGTATATGTTATTATCATTGCTATGATTATTTTTATTTTATCTTTATATTATCATAATTATTATTATTATTATTATTATTATTATTATTATATTTCCTGGCACTCATCTTGAGGACCAGGCACTCACCTTGAGGGCCAGGCACTCACCTTGAGGGCCAGGCACTCACCTTGAGGACCAGGCACTCACCTTGAGGGTCAGGCACTCACCTTGAGGGTCAGGCACTCACCTTGAGGGTCAGGCACTCACCTTGAGGGTCAGGCACTCACCTTGAGGGTCAGGCACTCACCTTGAGGGCCAGGCACTCACCTTGAGGGTCAGGCACTCACTTTGAGGGTCAGGCACTAACCTTGAGGGTCAGGCACTCACCTTGAGGGTCAGGCACTCACCTTGAGGGTCAGGCACTCACCTTGAGGGTCAGGCACTAACCTTGAGGGTCAGGCACTCACCTTAAGGGACAGGCACTAACCTTGAGGGTCAGGCACTCACCTTGAGGGTCAGGCAGTCACCTTGAGGGTCAGGCACTCACCTTGAGGGCCAGGCACTCACCTTGAGGGTCAGGCACTCACATTGAGGGTCAGGCACTCACCTTGAGGGTCAGGCACTCACCTTGAGGGCCAGGCACTCACTTGAGGGCCAGGCACTCACCTTGAGGGCCAGGCACTCACCTTGAGGGCCAGGCACTCACCTGAAGACCAGGCACTCACCTTGAAGACCAGGCACTCACCTTGAGGACCAGCACTCACCTTGAAGACCAGGGCACTCACCTTGAGGACCAGGCACTCACCTTGAGGGTCAGGCACTCACTGAGGGTCAGCACTCACCTTGAGGGTCAGGCACTCACCTTGAGGGTCAGGCACTCACCTTGAGGCCAGGCACTCACCTTGAGGACCAGGCACTCACCTTGAGGTCAGGCACTCACCTTGAGGGTCAGGCACTCCCTTGAGGGTCAGGCACTCACCTTGAGGGTCAGGCACTCACCTTGAGGGTCAGGCACTCACCTTGAGGTCAGGCACTCACCTTGAGGGTCAGGCACTCACCTTGAGGGCCAGGCACTCACCTTGAGGGTCAGGCACTCACCTTGAGGCCAGGCACTCACCTTGAGGGTCAGCACTCACCTTGAGGGCCAGGCACTCACCTTGAGGGTCAGGCACTCACCTTGAGGGCCAGGCACTCCCCTTGAGGGTCAGGCAACTCACCTTGAGGGTCAGGCCCCTCACCTTGAGGGCCAGGCACTCACCTTGAGGGTCAGGCACTCACCTTGAAGACCAGGCACTCACCTTGAGGGCCAGGCACTCACCCTTGAGGGCCAGGCACTCACCTTGAGGGTCAGGCACTCACCTTGAGGGTCAGGCACTCACCTTGAGGGTCAGGCACTCACCTTGAGGGTCAGGCACTCACCTTGAGGGTCAGGCACTCACCTTGAGGGTCAGGCAGTCACCTTGAGGGTCAGGCACTCACCTTGAGGGTCAGGCACTAACCTTGAGGGCCAGGCACTCACCTTGAGGGCCAGCACTCACCTTGAAGACCAGGCACTCACCTTGAAGACCAGGCACGCACCTTGAGGACCAGGCACTCACCTTGAAGACCAGGCACTCACCTTGAGGACCAGGCACTCACCTGAAGACCAAGGCACTCACCTTGAGGACCAGGCAATCACTTGAGCGCAGGCACTCACCTTGAAGACCAGGCACTCACCTTGAAGACCAGGCACTCACCTTGAGGGCCAGGCACTCACCTTGAGGGCCAGGCACTCACCTTGAGGGCCAGGCACTCCCCTTTGAAGACCAGGCACTCACCTTGAGGGCCCAGGCACTCACCTTGAGGGCCAGGCACTCACCTTGAGGGGCCAGGCACTCACCTTGAGGGCCAGGCACTCACCTTGAGGGCCAGGCACTCACCTTGAGGGCCAGGCACTCACCTTGAAGACCAGGCACTCACCTTGAGGGCCAGGCACTCACCTTGAGGGCCAGGCACTCACCTTGAGGGCCAGGCACTCACCTTGAAGACCAGGCACTCACCTTGAGGACCAGGCACTCACCTTGAGGGCCAGGCACTCACCTTGAAGACCAGGCACTCACCTTGAAGACCAGGCACTCACCTTGAGGGCCAGGCACTCACCTTGAGGGCCAGGCACTCACCTTGAGGGCCAGGCACTCACCTTGAAGACCAGGCACTCACCTTGAGGGCCCCCGGTGCGATGGACTTGACACCAGCCGAGGTGAGTCCAGAGTAGGCCTGGGGAGGGATGGCAGTCAGTTGCTCCGGTCCAAGTCCGCCCATCAGGAGACCCATCTCACTCATCTGTTATCGGGAACACAAGTGGTAGCATTGGTTAGCGCCACTCTGTCTGGCTTATCCTGGGTTTGTAATGGCAGGAAAGCCATCTAGGGTTATCCTGAGGTTCAGATCACAGGAAAGCCATCTGGGGGTTATCCTGAGGTTCAGATCACAGGAAAGCCATCTGGGGGTTATCCTGAGGCTCAGATCACAGGAAAGCCATATGGGGGTTATCCTGAGGTTCAGATCACAGGAAAGCCATCTGGGGGTTATCCTGAGGTTCAGATCACAGGAAAGCCATCTGGGGGTTATCCTGAGGTTCAGATCACAGGAAAGCCATCTGGGGCTTATCCTGAGGTTCAGATCACAGGAAAGCCATCTGGGGCTTATCCTGAGGTTCAGATCACAGGAAAGCCATCTGGGGCTTATCCTGAGGTTTCAGATCACAGGAAAGCCATCTGGGGGTTATCCTGGGGTTCAGATCACAGGAAAGCCATCTGGGGCTTATCCTGAGGTTAAAGATCACAGGAAAGCCATCTGGGCTTATCCTGAGGTTCAGATCACAGGAAAGCCATCTGGGGCTTATCCTGAGGTTCAGATCACAGGAAAGCCATCTGGGGCTTATCCTGAGGTTCAGATCACAGGAAAGCCATCTGGGGCTTATCCTGAGGTTCGGATCACAGGAAAGCCATCTGGGGGTTATCTGAGGTTCAGATCACAGGAAAGCCATCTGGGGTTATCTGAGGTTCGATCATAGGAAAGCCATCTGGGGGTTATCTTGAGGTTCAGATACAGGAAAGCCATCTGGGGGTTATCCTGAGGTTCAGATCACGGGAAAAGCACCCTGGGGCTTATCCTGAGGTCAGATCACAGGAAAGCCATCTGGGGCTTATCCTGAGGTTCAGATCACAGGAAAGCCATCTGGGGCTTATCCTGAGGTTCAGATCACAGGAAAGCCATCTGGGGCTTATCCTGAGGTTCAGATCACAGGAAAGCCATCTGGGGCTTATCCTGAGGTTCGGATCACAGGAAAGCCATCTGGGGGTTATCCTGAGGTTCAGATCACAGGAAAGCCATCTGGGGGTTATCCTGAGGTTCAGATCATAGGAAAGCCATCTGGGGGTTATCTTGAGGTTCAGATCACAGGAAAGCCATCTGGGGGTTATCCTGAGGTTCAGATCACAGGAAAGCCATCTGGGGGTTATCCTGAGGCTCAGATCACAGGAAAGCCATCTGGGGGTTATCCTGAGGTTCAGATCACAGGAAAGCCATCTGGGGGTTATCCTGAGGCTCAGATCACAGGAAAGCCATCTGGGGGTTATCCTGAGGTTCAGATCACAGGAAAGCCATCTGGGGTTATCCTGAGGTTCAGATCACAGGAAACCCAATCTGGGGGTTATCCTGAGGTTCAGATCACAGGAAAGCCATCTGGGGGTTATCCTGAGGTTCAGATCACAGGAAAGCATCTGGGGTTATCCTGAGGTTCAGATCACAGGAAAGCCATCTGGGGGTTATCCTGAGGCTCAGATCACAGGAAAGCCATCTGGGGGTTATCCTGAGGTTCAGATCACAGGAAAGCCATCTGGGGGTTATCCTGAGGTTCAGATCACAGGAAAGCATCTGGGGTTATCCTGAGGTTCAGATCACAGGAAAGCCATCTGGGGGTTATCCTGAGGCTCAGATCACAGGAAAGCCATCTGGGGTTTATCCTGAGGTTCAGATCACAGGAAAGGCCACTGGGGGTTATCCTGAGGTTCAGATCACAGGAAAGCCATCTGGGGGTTATCCTGAGGTTCAGATCACAGGAAAGCCATCTGGGGGTTATCCTGAGGTTCGGATCACAGGAAAGCCATCTGGGGGTTATCCTGAGGTTCAGATCACAGGAAAGCCATCTGGGGGTTATCCTGAGGTTCAGATCACAGGAAAGCCATCTGGGGGTTATCCTGAGGTTCAGATCACAGGAAAGCCATCTGGGGCTTATCCTGAGGTTCAGATCACAGGAAAGCCATCTGGGGGTTATCCTGAGGTTCAGATCATAGGAAAGCCATCTGGGGGTTATCTTGAGGTTCAGATCACAGGAAAGCCATCTGGGGGTTATCCTGAGGTTCAGATCACAGGAAAGCCATCTGGGGGTTATCCTGAGGTTCAGATCACAGGAAAGCCATCTGGGTTATCCCGCATTAATACTTTTTGGTGGTAATTATTATTATTAATATTATTATTATTATAAAGAATATTTAAGCGAGGCTGTAAACCTGCATGGGATATTTAAGGAGTGATGGAGGCTTGATCCTCCGTCCTGTAAGAGCGTCAGAGACACGCTACTCTTGCGAAAGAGTAGTTAATCACCTTTAAGAAGGATCTGTCTAGCATGGGCCAGTAGGCCTGCTGCAGTGCTCCTCTTGTGTTCCTTGTTAATCCAACGATGAGCTGTTGTCTAAGAACGGAAGAACAGTGAACGTTGTTCCCCATTACAATCGTCCAAAATGTTGGTCCAGTGTTTTTTATATACTCAAAATCTGTTTAGTAATTAAGGTTTGTTTGGGCCTTCCCTCATCCTCTTTCTTCCTCACTCCCTCCTTCACCCCTTCCCTCACCCCCTCCCTCACCCCTTCCCTCACCCCTTCCCTCACTCCTCCCCCTCACCCTTTCCCTCACCCCTTCCCCTCACCCACTCCCTCACCCTTCCCTCAGCCCTTCCCCTCACCCCTTCCCTCACCCCACCCTCACCCTTTCCATCACCCCTTGCCCTCACCCCTTCCCTCACCCCTCGTTCACCCCTTCCATAACCCCTCCCTCACCGTGGCACCATCCCAGTAAGGCAGGTCTCTGTTGTCACTCTTGTAAGCAGCGAGGGCCATCTGTGCCAGGTAGACAGTGCCATTCTTGTTGTTGCAGTTCAGTATTCCCAGGTACCTCATGGCTCCTCTGTAAGTCAACAACAGTTGTAGTTGTGGTTGTGTTAGTAGGTGTGTGATAGTTGTTGCAAGTGTTGTAGCTGCTATGGGTGAGATAGTTACAGTAGTAAATTTGTTTGATAATTAGTAGTAATGGGAGTGTAATACACACACACACACACTGGAGCCGTGAATCGACCCGTGCAATCTGAAATTGGTAAACACACACAAACACTTATACTTTATCTCCATTCATTTTTTCTTTGCTATCATTCTGTTTTCTTCTCCTTCTCTCCTTCCTCCTCATCTTCCTCCTCCTCCAGCAGGTACTCACAGGAAGGCACTGACGGGGATGTTATTAATCTGACTCTGGGTGAAGACACAGATTATCTGACCCAGTAACATCAGGTCCTGAGAGTTCATGTTGGGGGGAGTCTGGTACAGTGACAGGATCTGGTCCTTGGCGGCTGTCATCTGAATGGGCAGAGTGCGAGTAAGTGGACAAGACTGTAGGCAAATAATGTGAGAAGTCACGAAATCGTTTGGAATTTCACTATTTTTTCACAGTGGTTGTTCTTCATATATGTATGTATTGATGTGTAGCACGTGTATCTAATTATTCATCTTGTCGATATTATATACCATTTATGTACAACTTTCCCATCTCTCCACATCTTCCCCATCTCTCCCCACTAGAGCTTCAGGTCTACCACTTACCACATCGTCAGGCATCATTTTCATTCTACCAATCTGGTAGATCATTGACTTGGCTCTCGGGTTGGTCCAGTTGAGGTTGGCCATATCATTGGCGGTGAAGGCCTGGTAGATGTAACCCAGGTTGTTAAGGTTATCCGTGGTCAGGTTGCCTTGGCTGCTTAACTGTCTGACTTTCGTTAACAGAGCCTGTGGATAAGGTCACACATTATTATGGGTTAGGCGAATATTTTGGTTATTGGGTTAGGCGAATATTTTGGTTACTGGGGTTTGGGTTTGAGGAAGATGTGCCAGGTATGGGCAAGTAGGCTTGCTGCTGTGTTCCTCCTTTACGTTGTTCTTGCGTAGGTAAGGCTAAGTGAATTACGTCAGACCTTAACATGTGGGTAAGAATACTGAGAGGAAATTTGATTGAAGAATATATGTGGCAGACGGGTTTAAACAAAGAATATAATGCTAAGAATACCTAACCAAGAGAGAACTCTCAACACTGGATTTAAGTTGATTGGATCCAGACGTAGGAAGGGTGTAGGATAGTCCAGGTTCGGCAGTATAGTTGTAGATAAGTGGAACAACTTGCCTAATAGGGTCATTGAGACACACCTCGGGTAGCACTAAAAATAAATTAGACAAACAAATATAAATTATATATATACTCTAAAACTCACGTGATTAACCCAGTACAAGAAGTGGTGGAGGCTTGATCTTCTGTCTGGCTTACCTGGGCTTGGGCCATGGTCATCTCCTGGGCTGCGAGGTCAGCGAGGTTGTCATAGACATCCTGCAGCTGTAGGCTATTGATATCAGCAGAGGTCATGACAGCCAGGCCATTGCACAGGATTTTGTCACAATTGGTGCCTGAACCCACTGTAATAACCGGACATCTAACTTCACTACAATTATTATTCTCTTATTATTATTATTATTATTAGTATTTAGTAGTAGTAGTAGTAGTAGTATAAGTAATTGTAGTAGTAACAGTAGTAGTAGTAGCAGTAGTAGTAACAATAGTAGTAGTAATAGTATTAACAGTAGTAGTAGTAGTAGCAGTAATAGTAGTAGTAGTAGTAGTAATAGTAGAAGTAACAGCAGTAGTGGTAACAGTAGTAGTAGTTGCAGTAGTAATAATAACAGTAGTAGTAGCAATAATAGTAGTAGTAGTAGGTTTACACTCTTGGGGAAAGAAATAGGTTCACAATGGGTCAACTATGGTACCAAAAATAGATAAATATATAAATATGTCACAATTTGCTGACTACAACAATTCTTATAGAAGCAAGTCGCTTACTGGCAGCTCAAACGAGTCAAAATCTCGGATGTGTTAATCTAACCTGCGTTCTGGACGAAGCGTATTTGATGCAGCCTTCATCGCGGCTGCCTCTAGACATCTCCGCTTGTGCAAGTCATTTGTCTTAATAATCAGTCCAGCTTCAGTCACTTTCATGAGGTGTCATACATCAAAATTCACATGGAAGTCTCATGACGTGGGATAAAGAACGCCAAATCATTAAGGAGAATGACTTGCGGAAGCGACGATGTCTAGAGGCAGCGTTCACTGCTGCATCAGACATAGCCAACATAAAGCACGGGAAGCTTTAGCATGTTCAGCATCGTGACTAAATTAATAGTTCTCTCTTATGACTTGTCAATCAGGTGACCTCAGTTCTTGGCATATCTTTCAGACTATGACCATCCACGTGCTCCACACATGACCTGGTCCCATATATCTACATATATATCTTAAAAATTATATCTCATAAATGTTTCTCATAACTGTATCTCATAAATGTTTAACCTGATACCCAATCAAATTTTGTTATTTTTTAATTACATTACCTAACAGAATACTCCGTTCTACTGAATGCTCAGCAACACAGTAAATGACCATATGACCTTTGTAATACTCATTTGTGCTTAATTGTTATGTGTTTACATTAATGTTTTACCACTGAATATATCATTGCTTAGTTAATCTTAAGTTAATTTTAAGCTGCCTATAATGTTCTGCATACAAGGGGCTTTGGCATGCTGCTCTTAACTGTATTCATTTGTACTACTCTGTATCATGTTCAAATTAATAAATAATATATATTATATATATATATATATATATATATATATATATATATATATATATATATATATACTGATTTCTGGCTGAAGGAGACTCGAACCTACGAACCTTGGAACATGGTACGCGGTGCTATACCAATCTCACCACACTGGACAATACCTTGGCGTGCAGATTGCGCTACACGTTGATCCAAGGCAGCCAGCTTTCAGGGAGAAGGCTTACAGCTTTCCATCTCATCCCCTGCATGCATCAGCCAGAGATCAGTGTTTGTGTATATTTCGCCTGCTCTTGCGAATTCCTTGCATATATTATATATATATATATATATATATATATATATTATATATATAATATATATATATATATATATATATATATATTATATAATATATATATATATATATATCATAACGTTAAATATGACAGTCTTCTTGGCTTGGTATCAAGAAGTGTAAGAGAAGTCTCAAGGATATGCTTTACCTAAATTTTATACATCTTGGTAAGGTCTGATACTATGCATCTCACTTTTATTCGTATAATCATTGAGAGCTGTGAGAGCAATGATACACACACAGTGCAGTAGAAGCGCCTTCCATCATGCGAGTACAGTCATTCTCGGTACAGTGATCGTGGGAGCTGACAGTCACAACCAGAAACTCAGAGAATACCGAATTTGTAGCATGTTGATAGCTGCGTGCAGCCATTCTTAGATAAAGCAAGGGCTATGAGACCTCGGGAGCTTTTCACGACCATTGTACAACTTTCGTGAGACCTTAACTAATATGTACGACCACCCGGTGGTGTACGACCACACGGTGATGTACGACCACACGGTGATGTACGACCACACGGTGGTGTACGACCACACGGTGATGTACGACCACACGGTGATGTACGACCACACGGTGATGTACGACCACACGGTGATGTACGACCACACGGTGATGTATGCTCACCTGTGTTCCTCAAGTTGATGCACTTCGACGCCTGCATCTCACTCATCTTCTTGTACGACGCCTTGGCGTTGGTCTTACACATATCCTGCAGATGTTGTGAATTATTAATATCGTGTCTGTAATGCATAAGTGAAAAAGGTCCAGCACCAGGAAGAAGTTGTTAGAGTTAATGAGGTTATCAAAACTTATTGTTCCATGGGTAGCATTGAAAAATGGGTTGGGCAGATATTTTTGTTAATGGGTTTGGGTAAGAGAAAGACCTGCCTAGTATGGGCCAGTAAGCCTGCTGCAGTGTTCCTAACTTGTGTTCCTATTAAGTGTCAGATTTGTTTACTTTCTCTCCTACCTCCATTCTTACTCATCCTCTCCTCATCCCCCCATCCTCATCCTCCTACCCCCATCATCATCCTCTTCCCCCTCCCCTTCATTACTCTTCCCCATGACTCACCGGCTGACCATCCTCGAAGTGGGTTGTCAAAGGTTTGCAGTTGACGGAAGTGAAGACTTCAGGAGGGATGGACATCAAGGAGGTGCTGGACAGTGTGTCCAGGAGACAGCTGATGTCACTTGCATCCTTCCAGGTCGCCGGTGGTCTGTCAGGTCACAGGTCACAAGGCAGTTATAATACTCTTTTTGATAATACTTTACCCAAGCTAAAATTTTGGGTAGTTTCAATTATACATGAATGAGAGGGGTTAGGTTTGAGTGGGACTTGCACAGTATGGGTGAGTAGCAGTATGGAAGTAAGACCTGAGTAGCCTTGGGAATAGGCTGGACCAGTATTCCTCTTAGAGGGTTTGGATCTGAAAAGGACCTGCCTCGCATGGGACAGCAGGCCTTCTGCAGTGTTCCTCCATTCTTATGTTCTTACGAAAGAAGGTGGTTGTGGTTGGTAGTGGTGGTGGTGATTGGTAGTGGTGGTGGGGGGTTGGTAATGATGTTGCGGGGTTGGTAGTGGTGGTGGAGGGTTGATAAGTGGTGGTGGTGGTGGGTGGTGGTGGTGGTGGTGGTGGTGGTTGGTAGTGGTGGTGGTGAATGGTAGTGGTAGGAGGGTTGGTAGTGGTGGTGGTGGATGATAGTAGTGGGGGGTTGGTAGTGGTGGTGGGGGATTGGTAATGGTGGTGGTTGGTAGTGGTGGTGGTGCTGACTGGTAGTGGTGGTGGTGCTGATTGGTAGTGGCGGTGGTGCTGATTGGGGAATTGTTGTTGCTGTCACTGTTGTTGCTGTCACTGTTGTTGCTGTCACTGTTGTTGATGTCACTGTTGTTGCTGCCACTGTTGTGATCGTCACTGTTGTTGTTGTCACTGCTGTGATCGTCACTGTTGTTGCTGTCACTGCTGTGATCGTCACTGTTGTTGCTGTCACTGTTGTGATCGTCACTGTTGTTGTTGTCACTGTTGTTGCTATCACTGTTGTTGCTGTCACTGTTGTGATCGTCATTGTTGTTGCTATCACTGTTGTTGCTGTCACTGTTGTGATCGTCACTGTTGTTGCTGTCACTGTTGTGATCGTCACTGTTGTTGCTGTCACTGTTGTGATCGTCACTGTTGTTGCTGTCACTGTTGTGATCGTCACTGTTGTTGCTGTCACTGTTGTGATCGTCATTGTTGTTGCTATCACTGTTGTTGCTGTCACTGTTGTGATCGTCACTGTTGTTGCTGTCACTGTTGTGATCGTCACTGTTGTTGCTGTCACTGTTGTGATCGTCACTGTTGTTGCTGTCACTGTTGTGATCGTCATTGTTGTTGCTATCACTGTTGTTGCTGTCACTGTTGTGATCGTCACTGTTGTTGCTGTCACTGTTGTGATCGTCACTGTTGTTGCTGTCACTGTTGAGATCGTCACTGTTGTTGCCGTCACTGTTGTGATCGTCACTGTTGTTGCTGTCACTGTTGTGATCGTCACTGTTGTTGCTGTCACTGTTGTGATCGTCACTGTTGTTGCTGTCACTGTTGTGATCGTCACTGTTGTTGCTGTCACTGTTGTGATCGTCACTGTTGTTGCTGTCACTGTTGTGATCGTCACTGTTGTTGCTGTCACTGTTGTGATCGTCATTGTTGTTGCTATCACTGTTGTTGCTGTCACTGTTGTGATCGTCACTGTTGTTGCTGTCACTGTTGTGATCGTCACTGTTGTTGCTGTCACTGTAATTTTATTTAGGTTTAGTAAAAGAAAAGTCAGTGTATGGCATACAAATAGAGATACATTATCATACAGGAATAATGAATTGAAAGAAGAGATATGAGAGGCAATTGTGGATTTAAAAAAACACTTGGGTACTAACTAGGACATATTTGTTAGAAGTGATCATGGTCCCAGGACCATGATGCTGTCTAATAAATAGGTACCAATGTTGGTAACAATGACCAAGGTTTACATTATTCTCTCAACAGTAACCCTGATATCATAGCTGTCACAGAGACAAGGCCACACGTCTTGAGTGGTATGAGATGCACCAGTAAAGCTTGTTTGCCTGTGAGATAAAACTAGCATCATGGTTGATGTTTCGCTCTCCAGGAGCTTTGTCAAGCTCCTGGAGAGAGGAACGTTGCCATAATACTCACACACACGTACTTACCCCATGACGGTGATAATCATCTGACCAATTTGCTGTTTCTGAGTTACATCCAGACAGGGAGGTACAGGGCTCATGAAACTCATCTGTGCATAAATATAAATTAGTATCAATATATATATATATATATATATATATATATATTTTATATATATATATATATATATATATATATAAAATATATTAATAAGTCGGCCGTCTCCCACCGAGGCAGGGTGACCCAAAAAAGAAAGAAAATCCCCCCAAAAGAAAATGCTTTCATCATCATTCAACACTTTCACCACACTCACACATAATCACTGTTTTTGCAGAGGTGCTCAGAACACAACAGTTTAGAAGCATATATGTATAAAGATACACAACATATCCCTCTAAACTGCTAATATCCCAAACCCCTCCTTTAAAGTGCAGGCATTGTACTTCCCATTTCCAGGACTCAAGTTCGGCTATATAAAAATAACCGGTTTCCCTGAATCCCTTCACTAAATATTACCCTGCTCACACTCCAACAGCTCGTCTGGTCCCAAATACCATTCGTCTCCATTCACTCCTATCTAACACGCTCACGCACGCTTGCTGGAAGTCCAAGCCCCTCGCCCACAAAACCTCCCTACCCCCTCCCTCCAACCTTTTCGAGGACCCCTACCCCGCCTTCCTTCCCATACAGGTTTATACGCTCTCCATGTCATTCTACTTTGATCCATTCTTTCTAAATGACCAAACCACCTCAACAACCCCTCTTCTGCCCTCTGACTAATACTTTTATTAACTCCACACCTTCTCCTAATTTCCACACTCCGAATTTTCTGCATAATATTTACACCACACATTGCACTTAGACAGGACATCTCCACTGCCTCCAACCACCTCTTCGCTGCAGCATTCACAACCCAAGCTTCACACCCATATAAGAGTGTTGGTACTATTATACTCTCATACATTCCCTTCTTTGCCTCCATAGATAACATTTTTTGCCTCCACATATACCTCAACGCACCACTCGCCTTTATATATATATATATATATATATTATATATATATATATTATATATATATATATATATATATGTATATATATATATATATATATATATATATATATATATATATATATATATAATATATATATATAATATATATATATATATGTCGTGCCGAATAGGCAGAACTTGCGATCTTGGCTTAAATAGCAACGCTCATCTTGCCATATAGGACAAGTGAAAATTTGTGTATGCAATAATTTCGCCAAAATCATTCTGAACCTAACGAAAAAAATATATTTCACTGTGTTTGTTTAGTATTAAATTACTGTAAACAAATCTAAAATATATTTAGTTGGGTTAGGCTAAAATAAATTGTTCTTGTTATAATAAGGTTAGGTAAGTTTTTTAAGTTCTTTTTGGTGCAAAATTATAATTTTTTACATCAACATTAATGAAAAAAATATATCTTTAAACGTATAAGAGAAAATTTTAGAAAGGACTTAATTTTAAATGAGTTCTTGCTAATTGACCAGTTTTACATATTCGGCACGACATATATATAATATATATATATATATATATATATATATATATATATATATATATATAATATATATATATATATATATTTATATATATATATATATATATATATATATATATATATATATATATATATAATATCAGAAATCGCTCACTTTTCTTCAGAAGACCTAATTATGTTGTTTGACTTTATTGAGTTATCTTGGATTATCCTAGGTTATCCTGGGTTATCTTAGATTATCCTGGGTTATCTTAGGTTATCCTGGGTTATCTTAGGTTATCCTGGGTTATCTTAGGCTATCCTGGGTTCATCCTACATAACGTATTACACATGTGCCCACCACATCTGTGTGGCCTCACCTTATTAGATGTATAAGGAAGAGATAAACCCTCAGGGGCCACTCAGCAAATCTGTGACTTCACAGCCAAAGTTCAGATTTTCTGACAAGAATTGATCTTATCTAATTATATTTTATCTTGTGTTATCGTACCTTATCTTATGCTGTTATTTTATATCTTATTCTAACTTTTATCTTATACTAGTCATGCGGAGAGATCAATTAATATTCCTGGGGGAATGGTAGGTGATCAGGTTTGATCCAAGGAAGGGGAGGGGTAGCTCCAATTCCTTGGATGATGAGACCTTACCCAATGTCACCCCGGAGGGTTAATAACCCAGGATAAGCCAGGAAAGTCAGGCAGTGGAGCCTGTAAGTGGCTTAAGTGGTAGCATCTTCTGCTCGTAACTGAAGGACCCGGGTTCAACCCCGGGATGAGTGGAAACGTTAAACATTTTTTCCTTATAGCTGTCGTCCTTGTTTACCAAGAAGTAAGCAAGTACCTGGGTATTAGTTTGTTCCTGTTCACCTAGCAGTAAATATGTACCTGGATGTTAGTTTGTTCCTGTTTACCTATCAATAAGTAGATACCGGGTATTAATTTGTTCCCGTTCACTTAGCAGTAAATAGGTACCTAGCTGTTAGTTTGTTCCTGTTCACCTAACAGAAAGTAGGTACGTGGGTGTTAGCCGACTATTGTGGGTGGCATCTTGGGTAAGAAAATCAAAGGACCTCAATGGAAATAAGCCACACTGCCTGGCTTTCTCGGGTTATTATGGGTTACAATCCCTCCGGGTTATTAATCCAAACACAATCGTCATCTTCTGTTGGGGTCTTCAAGTCTTAATATCCAGGATGCTACCCACGAGAGTTAACTATATACTAGGTATTTAGTCACTGCTAGGTAACATAAGCAGCAGGTGTTATCACTGCTAGGCTACACAGGCAGCAGGTGTTATCACTGCTAGGCAACACAGGCAGCAGGTGTTATCAGTGTTGGCTAACACAGGCAGCAGGTACTAGGAGACTTGCCCCTTCATCTCTCCAGGATTTCACCTGGATCCTTCGGTTGCGAACAGAACGCTGTACCACCGTGCTACGTGGAACCTAGTGGACATCAGATCAATAAAACAAAAAGTAACTATAAACAACGTCCATATTTCAACGTGAATATGCATATATGGTTCTTCATTTGTGTCTATCACATTATTATGGGGGAAAGCTGAACCCGTAGGGGGTTGTGCAGTGCCAGGGTTATGGGGAGAAATGAGATTCCAACCGAGAAAATGGATTATAATTCTATTTCCTTGAATCAAGAGCCTTTTGCAGACTGATGCACCCTCCTTGAGGGGTTCAACAGATTCCGATGACGTTAAAACATTGCTTTAGTTAGTGCTAAATTATTTTCGTTTTCTCTTAGTCTAGTTTTCTTTGTTATTAACGAGAGCCCTAACTATTTTTATTATTCAAAGGTTTATATTTATATATATATATATATATATATATATATATATATATATATATATATATATATATACATACATACATACATACATACATACATACATACATACATACATACATACATACATACATACGATCGACACCATGCCTAACCCTTCTAGGGTAGGGTAGGTGCCTGAGCCCGAGCCTTTAGCTCATAAGACTGTCATTCCCATTAGCCCCCTTGGGGCGGGGATGGCAGACCAGAGAGGCCTAGCTTGTGGCTAGGTCTGGGGACAGTTGGTCCCAAAGATGAGGAGGTAATTGTGCCTCCTCCCATGGGAGACTTAGGTCTCAGACACTCCCTAAAGAGGGAGCCAAGGCCGGGCCACCACTTGGAAAAGGCCCGGGCCGGGAGAATACCGGCTAATATTTAATAATAAATAATAAAATACATACATACATACATACATACTGAGAAAATACTTTAATCCATATTTTAGGGATAAAAATATTCTTGTCTGGTGGTAACAATATTATTGCGGCCTTAAACCCATCTACTAGATAGGATTAAAACCCCATAAACCACGTAAACACACACACAGTACATTGTGTACACTTTACCCTTATGAAGGCCAGCAAGTCATGTGTATATACAGTGAGAGATGTGTATCTGTGTGTATATACAGTGAGAGATGTGTATCTGTGTGTATATACAGTGAGAGATGTGTATCTGTGTGTATATACAGTGAGAGATGTGTATCTGTGTGTATATACAGTGAGAGATGTGTATCTGTGTGTATATACAGTGAGAGATGTGTATCTGTGTGTATATACAGTGAAAGATGTGTATCTGTGTGTATATACAGTGAGAGATGTGTATCTGTGTGTATAGACAGTGAGAGATGTGTATCTGTGTGTATATACAGTGAGAGATGTGTATCTGTGTGTATATACAGTGAGAGATGTGTATCTGTGTGTATAGACCGTGAGAGATGTGTATCTGTATATACAGAGATGTGTATCTGTGTGTATAGATCGTGAGAGATGTGTATCTGTGTGTATAGACCGTGAGAGATGTGTATCTGTGTATATAGTGAGATATGTCTATTTCTCAGTGTATGAACACTGAGGGCTGTATATTTCTCAGTGTGTATCTCTTAGTGTATATGCAGAGAGAAGAGTATATATGCGGTAAACCCGTGTGAGTCAGTTAACGCAAGGGTTGACGAGGCTTTGATCCTCCGTACCCTGACAGAAACAGCGCAGATTTACTATACAGATCGGAAGGATTTATCAGTTTAATGGGCAATAGAAGAGCGCCCCAAGAGCTGGAGCCCAACCTTCCCTCTCGAAAAGTAGTGAGATATTCACTCCTACACTCATGACGACCTCTGTGACCGAGCAACGAGGGGTCAAACCAGGAAGCGAAGCCAGGAGCTGAGCTTCGACCCCCCTGTAGGCACGTATAAGTACATACAGGTGATTACATATTGGTGAGTACATACAGGTGAGTACATATAAATGAGTACATACAAATGAGTACATATAGGAGAGTACATACAGGTTAGTACATATAGGTGAGCAGCTACACTCACCTGGAGACGTTTAATGAACTCCATGGTAGCTGGTTCGTTCATCATCCTGAGGTTTTGTGGCGTGAGATCGAAGACGCAGCTTCCCAGCATGTCTAACTCACATATGCCTATCTTGGCTCCCGGCACGCTCATCTGAGGGAGGGATGGAGGGAGTGTAGGAAGGCAGGAGGGAGGGAGGGAGAGTAGGAAGGCAGGAGGGAGGGAGGGAGTGTAGGAAGGGAGGAGGGAGAGTAGGAAGGCAGGAGGGAGGGAGGGAGAGTAGGAAGGCAGGAGGGAGGGAGGGAGTGTAGGAAGGGAGGAGGGAGAGTAGGAAGGCAGGAGGGAGGGAGGGAGTGTAGGAAGGGAGGAGGGAGAGTAGGAAGGCAGGAGGGAGGAAGGGAGAGTAGGAAGGCAGGAGGGAGGGAGGGAGTGTAGGAAGGCAGGAGGGAGGGAGGGATAGTAGGAAGGCAGGAGGGAGGGAGGGAGAGTAGGAAGGCAGGAGGGAGGGAGGGAGTGTAGGAAGGCAGGAGGGAGGGAGGGAGAGTAGGAAGGCAGGAGGGAGGGAGGTAGGGAGAGTAGTTAGGAAAGAGAAGCAGGTAAGGTAAAGAAGAGAAGGAATAGATAGGAAGGAGGGTTGATGAAATGGAAGAGGAGAGAGTGAAGTCATGTGAATAAATACCGGTAGTCAACACGAAATCACAACAAGAGATCTTGGTTTTTTAATCACCCAGGACGTCGAGCTTATTGATCTTATAACTAAAAAGTTCTGAACTCCTTACAAGGAAGATCTGAACTCTTGTGAGGAGGATCTAAGTCAAAAGTGAGTCATCGTAAATGGAGCATCAGAATGTTAGGGTTTGATCGTGGTTCACGACGGATTGAAACCACACTTAAAACCTACTCTTAGAAATATTGGGTTAGTGGAGAATTATTAAATCAGTTAAGAAGTATGATATTATTTACAGAAACTGTATCATATTACAGAAATAATAATACAGTAGAATACAGTAGAGGTTGGGTGAAATGGGGAATCGCTGATAAACAGAAAGGCAAAAAATACAAAGGGTTGTTGAAATGGGGTTAACTGGAACACCGTTTAGCGGTACACAGAACAAAACGTTTTTCCAGTCAAAGGTATTTCGGCAAATTGTTCTTCGTGTTCATACAGGTGGGACTTACCATGTCATTAACGATACTGTTGATGAAGTTCCGACGCTTGTCTTGTGGGATGCTGGAGAGACCAGAGTTCATCTTACATAGCTGCATCAACGCCACCTTCTTCATCTGCTTGGTCATGACCTTCAGTGCGGCATCCCTGTCACGACCAGGCGAGGCAGGGTCAGAAAGCATCGAAGAGAGTGAGTGACAGAGAGTGAGAGAAAAAAAAGAGAGAGAGAGAGGCAGACAGAAGACAGCCTGCATAAAACTCCCTCCTAAACCTACACACCACACACACACACACACACACACACACACACACACACACACGAGCTGTGACTCAACCCCTTCAACCACATACAGGTGAGTAAGTGAGCACATACACACAACAAGGCACAAGTCACTCACCCCAGGTCAACCAAGACACAAGGAGGCACTACTGTCACATCCTGAAGGAACAGCTGTGAAGCCACATCTTGGAGTGAGGTGAGGTTGCTGGGTAGGTTAGTGGCTGCCCACTCCACCAACATGTCTCTAAACACACGACACTGTTGATAAACACAACATGTAAACACACGACACTGTTGATAAACACAACATGTCAACACACGACACTGTTGATAAACACAACATGTAAACACACGACACTGTTGATAAACACAACATGTCAACACACGACACTGTTGATAAACACAACATGTAAACACACGACACTGTTGATAAACACAACATGTCAACACACGACACTGTTGATAAACACAACATGTAAACACACGACACTGTTGATAAACACAACATGTAAACACACGACACTGTTGATAAACACAACATGTAACACACGACACTGTTGATAAACACAACATGTAAACACACGACACTGTTGATAAACACAACATGTAAACACACGACACTGTTGATAAACACAACATGTCAACATCTACAATAGGAACCAAGGGATTGTGCAGTTTAAAGATCACTGGAAGATTAGATCTAGAAGTAGATGGTATCCGAACTGATGAATTTAGAGGGATAATTAAAAAATCTGTCCTATTTTAAACATTTTTATGCAGGAGGAAATTGTTTATTGAGCCTATTAGGCCTATTAAAATATTAAAAGACTATAAAAAACTGATTTAAAAATTATTACAATTTCGCTAGAGAAAAAATTGTTCACACGAAATATTTATAACACTGTTGTGAATCCTTCATGAATCCAAGAACAGTGAGGTTTTTATTTGTACAACGTTTCGCCCAGTGCAGCGTTTCATCAAGGCTGGGGAGGAGGGGGCGTTGACTCCCGGAACACCTTCCAGGCAGACCAAGACATCAACAGTGACTTACCGCTGACATGGACAGTGACTCACCGCTGACATGGACAGTGACTCACCGCTGACATGGACAGTGACTCACCGCTGACATGGACAGTGACTCACCGCTGACATGGACAGTGACTCACCGCTGACATGGACAGTGACTCACACGCTGACATGGACAGTGACTCACCGCTGACATGGACAGTGACTCACCGCTGACATGGACAGTGACTCACCGCTGACATGGACAGTGACTCACCGCTGACATGGACAGTGACTCACCGCTGACATGGACAGAGGCTTCCCGGTGGCCTTGATAGCCTCGAAGACGTTGAAGAGATCGTCTGGAGACACTTTCTGGGCGTCAACGGCACTCATACACCGCAGGAACTCCATGCCACTGTTGATCTCGTCAACGGAAATGTTATACATGCCACCGAATGTCATGTTGGCACCCCGCAGGCACTGAGGGGAAAGTTGAAGAGGTCTGTTACTGTGACTAGTGACGTTTCAACCTCCGTCATGGAGTCGTTCATATTGAAACACGACTGATGGTGGGTGGTAGTTGTAGTAGTGGTGGTGGGTGGTAGTGATGGTAGTGGTGGTGGGTGGTGGTGGTGATAGTAGTGGTGGTGGGTGGTGGTGGTGATAGTAGTGGTGGTGGGTGGTGGTGGTGATAGTAGTGGTGGGGGCGGTGGTAGTAGTGGTGGCGGGTGATAGTGATGGTAGTAGTGGTGGGTGGCGATGGTAGTAATGGTGGGTGGTAATGGTGGGTGGTGGTTGTGGTAGTAGTAGTGGTAGAGGTGGTAGGTGGCATTGTCAGTGGTTGCTACAAAACTCTTCACCTCTGAAAATGCATCATGAAATACGATGTGTCCAGATGCCTAACACAGACACCTGTCTTAGCTAATATACTCTCGTTATGGTCAGTCAAAATGATTTAGCCTCGTTTTGGTCAATATAATATTTTAGTTTAGAAATATATGCTTTGATGAATATCAATAAATCTTTCTAGATAAATACCTCTAGCGTTCATACTAGCCAGGATCACTAGTTTCAGTAGCAAATACTTGTAGTGAAATAATTTCAAGGGCACAGCCAATTATTATTCTTATTATTATTATTATTATTATTATAAGACTGCTGACATTAAGTCTAAGGGACTCGTAGGAAAAGAGAAAGAAGATAGTCTCCTTTGATCAGAAGTTGCACAAGACTGACAGAGAAAGATGCAGCATCCTCCTCCTTCTCCTCCCTCTATAAAGGATGCCACGGGACTCACGGGAAGAGAGAATGATGACATATTCTTGGCGAGCACCACCATGGCATACAGGTTCAGATTTCCAATCTTGACAGTAGAGGCGTACTCTCTGAAGAATGGTGGGTAAGGTGCCAGGTCACTGGCAGACAGCTGAGAAAACATCAAGTAATGAGTCATGGATCAGACAAAAAATGTATATAAAATTAACTGCATGATTAGAACATTTATTTAGGCACAGGTACATATAAGTATAATTATCATACATAGTGTAACTCACTCTCTAGGACAACCCAAAAAGTCAGACAAAGTGACTTATATCCACTGGGGTCCTCTGTTTCTACCTGGATATTCTCTGATAAATTATGCAGATATGTCAACGAAAAAGAGTTGGATTTGAAACGCCAGTAGGCTTTGAGAAAGCTAGTAGGCTTTGAGAAGGCCAGTAGGCTTTGAGAAGGCCAGTAGGCTTTGAGAAGGCCAGTAGGTTTTGAGAAGGCCAGTAGGCTTTGAGAAAGCTAGTAGGCTTTCAGAAGGCCAGTAGGCTTTGAGAAAGCTAGTAGGCTTTGAGAAGGCCAGTAGGCTTTGAGAAGGCCAGTAGGCTTTGAGAAGGCCAGTAGGCTTTGAGGAGGCCAGTAGGCTTTCAGAAGGCCAGTAGGCTTTCAGGTCAGTAGGCTTTGAGAAGACCAGTAGGCTTTGAGAAGGTCAGTAAGCTTTGAGAAGGCCAGTAGACTTTCAGAAGGCCAGTAAGCTTTGAGAAGGCCAGTAGGCTTTGAGAAGGTCAGTAAGCTTTGAGAAGGCCAGTAGGCTTTGAGAAGGCCAGTAAGCTTTGAGAAGGCCAGTAGGCTTTGAGAAGGCCAGTAAGCTTTGAGAAGACCAGTAGGCTTTGAGAAGGCCAGTAGGCTTTGAGAAGGCCAGTAAACTTTGAGAAGGCCAGTAGGCTTTGAGAAGGCCAGTAGGCTTTGAGAAGGCCAGTAGGCTTTCAGAAGGCCAGTAAGCTTTGAGAAGGCCAGTAGGCTTTGAGAAGGCCAGTAGGCTTTGAGAAGGCCAGTAGGCTTTGAGAAGGCCAGTAGGCTTTCAGAAGGCCAGTAGGCTTTGAGAAGGCCAGTAGGCTTTGAGAAGGCCAGTAGGATTTGAGAAGGCCAGTAGGCTTTGAGAAGGCCAGTAGGCTTTCAGAAGGCCAGTAGGCTTTGAGAAGGCCAGTAGGCTTTCAGAAGACCAGTAAGCTTTCAGAAGGCCAGTAGGCTTTGAGAAGGCCAGTAGGCTTTCAGAAGGCCAGTAAGCTTTGAGAAGGCCAGTAGGCTTTGAGAAGGCCAGTAGGCTTTGAGAAGGCCAGTAGGCTTTAAAAAGGCCAGAAGGGTTTCAGAAGGCCAGTAAGCTTTGAGAAGGCCAGTAGGCTTTCAGAAGGTCAGTAGGCTTTCAGAAGGCCAGTAGGCTTTCAGAAGGTCAGTAGGCTTTCAAAAGGTCAGTAGGCTTTCAGAAGGCCAGTAGGCTTTCAGAAGGCCAGTAGGCTTTGAGAAGGCCAGTAGGCTTTCAGAAGGCCAGTAGGCTTTCAGAAGGTCAGTAGGCTTTCAGAAGGTCAGTAGGCTTTCAGAAGGCCAGTAGGCTTTCAGAAGGCCAGTAGGCTTTCAGAAGGCCAGTAGGCTTTCAGAAGGCCAGTAGGCTTTCAGAAGGCCAGTAGGCTTTCAGAAAGCCAGTAGGCTTTCAGAAGGCCAGTAGGCTTTCAGAAGGTCAGTAGGCTTTCAGAAGGTCAGTAGGCTTTGAGAAGGCCAGTAGGGTTTGAGAAGGCCAGTAGGCTTTGAAAAGGCCAGTAAGCTTTGAGAAGGCCAGTAGGCTTTGAAAAGACCAGTAGGCTTTGAGAAGGCCAGTAGGCTTTGAAAAGGCCAGTAGGCTTTGAGAAGGCCAGTAGGCTTTGAGAAGGCCAGTAGGCTTTGAAAAGGCCAGTAGGCTTTGAGAAGGCTAGTAGGCTTTCAGAAGGCCAGTAGGCTTTCAGAAGGCCAGTAGGCTTTCAGAAGGTCAGTAGGCTTTCAGAAGGCCAATAGGCTTTCAGAAGGCCAGTAGGCTTTGAGAAGGTCAGTAGGCTTTCAGAAGGCCAGTAGGCTTTCAGAAGGCCAGTAGGCTTTGAGAAGGCCAGTAGGCTTTGAGAAGGTCAGTAGGCTTTCAGAAGGCCAGTAGGCTTTCAGAAGGCCAGTAGGCTTTGAGAAGGTCAGTAGGCTTTGAGAAGGCCAGTAGGCTTTCAGAAGGTCAGTAGGCTTTGAGAAGGTCAGTAGGCTTTGAGAAGGCCAGTAGGCTTTCAGAAGGCCAGTAGGCTTTGAAAAGGCCAGTAGGCTTTCAGAAGGCTAGTAGGCTTTCAGAAGGCCAGTAGGCTTTCAGAAGGCCAGTAGGCTTTCAGAAGGTCAGTAGGCTTTCAGAAGGCCAGTAGGCTTTCAGAAGGCCAGTAGGCTTTCAGAAAGCCAATAGGCCTGTGACATTATTCTTCCAGGCCAGTAGGCTTTCAGAAGGCCAGTAGGCTTTCAGAAGGTCAGTAGGCTTTGAGAAGGCCAGTAGGCTTTCAGAAGGTCAGTAGGCTTTCAGAAGGCCAGTAGGCTTTCAGAAGGCCAGTAGGCTTCAGAAGGTCAGTAGGCTTTCAGAAGGCCAGTAGGCTTTCAGAAGGCCAGTAGGCTTTCAGAAGGTCAGTAGGCTTTCAGAAGGCCAGTAAGCTTTCAGAAGGCCAGTAGGCTTTCAGAAGGCCAGTAGGCTTTCAGAAGGCCAGTAGGCTTTCAGAAGGCCAGTAGGCTTTCAGAAGGTCAGTAGGCTTTCAGAAGGCCAGTAGGCTTTCAGAAGGCCAGTAGGCTTTCAGAAGGTCAGTAAGCTTTCAGAAGGCCAGTAGGCTTTGAGAAGGCCAGTAGGCTTTGAGAAGGCCAGTAGGCTTTCAGAAGGCCAGTAGGCTTTCAGAAGGCCAGTAGGCTTTCAGAAGGCCAGTAGGCTTTCAGAAGGCCAGTAGGCTTTCAGAAGGCCAGTAGGCTTTCAGAAGGTCAGTAGGCTTTGAGAAGGTCAGTAGGCTTTGAGAAGGCCAGTAGGCTTTCAGAAGGCCAGTAGGCTTTGAGAAGGTCAGTAGGCTTTGAGAAGGCCAGTAGGCTTTCAGAAGGCCAGTAGGCTTTGAAAAGGCCAGTAGGCTTTCAGAAGGCCAGTAGGCTTTCAGAAGGCCAGTAGGCTTTCAGAAGGCCAGTAGGCTTTCAGAAGGTCAGTAGGCTTTCAGAAGGCCAGTAGGCTTTCAGAAGGCCAGTAGGCTTTCAGAAAGCCAATAGGCCTGTGACATTATTCTTCCATTCTTATGTTCGTCTTAAAACTAAAATGAAAATAAGGCAACAAGAACAACATCAATTAAAAAATCATGGAAGAAAGACACTTGATAAACCAACAGAACATGGGAGAGCGCTAAACCTATGGGGTCATATAGCACCTGTGAAATGGGGAAGCAGTCAGGTTTAATACGAGGACAGCTCTAAATTCGCGAATCAAGAGCCTCGTATGACCCCCCCATCATCCTCCCATAACCACTAACTAACCCACATGTGTTTAGCGCTTCACGCAAGTCAAATTCTCACCTTGGAGAGGATAGTGTCAATCTGGAAAGTGGAGAGGTATGCTCGCTTCTGGTAGGCAAAGTCGACAATCTGCTTGAGAATGGTGGTACTCTGGTCCTTGAGGAGCGAGGGATTGATCTGCACCTTCAACGAGCTCAGGATCTGCCCTGAGGTGAACACTCCGCTCACAAGGGCAGTCTTCATGTTGGCTTGCATCAGTGCTCTGGTCTGGACACAGAGAATGTCTACCTCAAAACTCACTTTGGTAAACCAAAACAAAGATATAAGTAAGTATATTCAGATACAGGTATACATAAATACAGTTATATAAGTAATTATAAATAAACTGAGACACATGTGGAATATCTGGGTATCTTTTCTGTAGACGTATTATAGCGAAACGTCTAAGATAAAGATAACCAGATGTTGAACATGTGTCTCAGTTTTCATCTCGTCGGTATTGTATACGACCTACTTCCACATTGAACAAATGTTACACGACCTATGACTGCTGCACCTCTCCTGCCAACGGTTTATAAGCTCCTTCTCAGCTCATATGCCGTATTCTATTCAAGATTGATGGACTGACCACATCGACTCAAGGTTGAGGGACTGATTACCTCATTCTCCTCCTGTTCTTCAAGATTCTCCTTTGTATGGACTGATGAAGCCACTGGGTGGCGAAACGTTTCCTCAATAAAGATACCCAAGAGTTGCACATGTGTCTAATTTATCAACATGTCGGTTCTCTGAACCATTCATCTACAAAGCAATATATGTGTAGATTACGTAGGATAACCCCAAAAAGTCAGACAAAGTGACTTATTTCCATTATCCATTTAGAAATGGCTATGTTAGTGCTAATGGACTTAGCATTGTACTGTTGCAGAGGAGAAAAAGTCACAATACCGTGACCTACCTGAAGTATACCTGGAGTATACCTGGAGTATACCTGGAGAGGGTTTCGGGGGTCAACGCCCCCACGGCTTGGTCTGAGACCAGGCCTCGTGGTGGATCAGGATCTGATCAACTAGGCTGTTACTGCAAACTGGCGTACGAACCACAGCCCGGCTGGTCAGGTGCCCAGCGCCTTCTTGAAGACAGGGGCCTATTGGTAATCCCCCTTATATATGATGGGAGGCAGCTGAACAGTCTTGGGGCCCGGACACTTATTGCTTTGTCTCTCAGTGTACTCGTGGCGCCCCTACTTTTCATTGTGGAAATGTTACATCTCTTGGAACAATACACAAATAACTCGCACACAGGACAGAGGAGCTTACCACGACGTTTCTGTCCGACTTAGACCATTTACAAGTCACACTGTACATGATCCAAGCCTGACCGATACGTCGTCATCAGCCTTTCTCTTCCACCTGCGGGATATTTGTGAAGTGTACCATTATTCACTCAGCTACCTCACTTTATGTGCATCAAAACAAACTCCTACTCAGTAACCTACATCTTAAATAAGTTGTGAATATTAGGATCAGTCTTCCCGAAATACACATGCATGTTGGTGACTGTCTTTTGTGCTTTAATATACTATATTCTATGTAAAGAATCTTAAGTATGTTGAAAGTTAGACACATGGTAGAATTACCTACAATATGTTAAGTAAAAGGACACAAGTGCAAGTAATGTGACATTTTATTGTGGCAACGTTTCGCTCTCCAGGAGCTTTATCACGACGTTACAAACAATACATGGACACAGAGGGTATATATAGGCAGCTTCACCACCTCTGAAGTCTTAGCAAGAATCCTCCTGAAAACAGTAAACCCTGCCATCACATAGTCTCTCCTGTTAATACTACACAAGCACATTACAGATGAACACTGAGACACACCTTCTCTAATCCAACTGCCAATATTTGTCTATCTAACCTTTTACTTATGTGCAAGTTGATTGTTCTACCATATTGTATTACTACTACTACTACAACTAATATTACTACTACCACTAGTATTACACCTCACTCTAAGCCTATATATACCCTCTGTGTCCATGTATAACACCACCTGTGTGCTGCCCTCTGATGTGACCCAGCTACCACAAGTTCGATGCAACAGAAACCTGCTATTCCTGTTTTCAAGTCTGCCCCACGATCGCCTTCGCTGCTGGGTTAAACCCTGGATCTATTTCTACAACTAAGAACACTCCTCTCCAGCTATACTTCGTCTGTCCCGTCTTCCCCGCTCATCCCATTTGGGATCTTACCTGCACTTGTTCGTTATTTCGTTCGTTCGTGTATTGTTCGTAACGGCGTGATAAAGCTCCTGGAGAGCGAAACGTTGCCACAGTAAAATGTCTCATTAGTTGCGTTTGTGTCCTTTTACTTAACACTTGAGGCTTTTTTAGAACGGATAAGAATGCATGGTGATTTCTATTTATAGCTTAGATGTTATAACGATCCTTCGCTATGCTAGTTGAGTTCTAGGGGAGCTGGGAGGGACTTACTCGAGGCTACATGTACTCTAGGCAGCTCTCTGTGTGCCCCGTACCCACCTTAGCTGGGAACTCTGGTCCCTTGACCAGCAGGACGCTGGAGTCCATGTTAGGTAGAACTGTGGTGAGGAGGGAGCGGTCAGCAGCACTCTTAATGTAGCAGGCTGGAGCTCGCATCATGAGGGGCCCTCCTGTGGATATATAGTGTGGTGAGAAGACTCGCTGTCTAGCTGTCTGACTGTCAGTCTGACTGCCTAGCTGACTGTGCTGGGCTGTCTTTCTGACTCTGGTTGTCTGTCTGTCAGTCTGTCTGTCATTGGAAAAAATAATTTGAAAAACTAAAAAAAAAAAATCGAGTCTTTTAGCTGTTGGAGTAGCCTTGTCCATCCCTATATTAACGGAGGGAGGTTCGAGGCACCGCCCCCTTCTTTGCACTGAGGGACTCACGGGTTTAATGCATGGATTGATTCTTATACTGACCCAGTGAGTTGACGTCTGCCGTGGTGATGCTGTCCACAGTCTTGTTGGTGAAGAAGTCTTGTAAGATGATGCTGGCATCCTGGGGGTGGAAAGATGCTCCTTGAGATGTGAGATGTGTGATGAAAGATGTGAGAAGTGAAATGTGTGTTGATGAGGGAGGAAGGGGGAAGGGGTCGTGTAATAAGGAAGATTGGATACATCAGCAATGTGCTGCTACCCTGTTCTGTAAGAGAGAGAGAGAGAGAGAGAGAGAGAGGAGGTGGGATTTATGTACCATTGAAACCAAGAAACTAATTAAACTTCTGCACAAGAAAAAAAATCATACAAACTCACAACTCACGACCAAAATTCAGTTTATTTTATAATAAATATAACAGAATTATTATAATATAATTATTGTAATTATATATAACTCTTATGCTAATTAAATCTATGACTACAGAAAAGAGGAAGCACTTTCACCGTCATTCATTCAATCACTGTCTTGCCAGAATTGTATTGTACCTCCAGGACTCAAGTCCGGCTAACTGGTTTCCCGCAGAACCCCTTCATAAATTTTATCTTGCTCAATATGGGAGGTCACTTGTGGGTTGATATCCATGCCTACCTTCCCTGCCACACACTAGGGTGTGCCTCACTTGTGGGTTGATATCCATGCCTACCTCTCCTGCCACACACTAGGGTGTGCCTCACCTGTGGGTTGATATCCATGCCTACCTTCCCTGCCACACACTAGGGTGTGCCTCACCTGTGGGTTGATATCCATGCCCACCTTCCCTGCCACACACTAGGGTGTGCCTCACCTGTGGGTTGATATCCATGCCTACCTTCCCTGCCACACACTAGGGTGTGCCTCACCTGTGGGTTGATATCCATGCCCACCTTCCCTGCCACACACTAGGGTGTGCCTCACCTGTGGGTTAATATCCATGCCCACCTTCCCTGCCACACACTAGGGTGTGCCTCACTTGTGGGTTAAATGCGTACCTCTCCTACTACACACTAGGAGGTGCCTCACCTCCCCTGCCACACACTAGAGTGTGCCTCACCTGTGGGTTAATATCCATGCGTACCTCTCCTGCCACACACTAGGCTGTGCCTCACCTGTGGGTTAATATCCATGCGTACCTCTCCTGCTACACACTAGGAGGTGCCTCACCTCCCGTGCCACACACACTAGGGGGGTGCCTCACCTGTGGGTTAATATCCATGCGTACCTCTCCTGCCACACACTAGGGGGTGCCTCACCTGTGGGTTGATATCTTTGCCTCTCATTATGGAAGCGTTGTAAGTAGCAAGCTTGAGGGTTGGGTCTGTGAGAGCAGCGCTGGAGATATCTGACGGACCCACACACGCCTGCAGCGTGCCCAGGTTACCATACCAGTTCTTGGTCTTGGGAAGGAATACAAGGAAGTGAATACGTTGACAAGTTATGGTATGGTACATGGTTACATGGTATGGTACATGGTTATGGTACATAGCTATGGCACATGGTTATGGTACGTAGCTGTGGTACATGGTTATGGTCAGGGCAGGATTACCGCATAGGCAAACTAGGCATTTGCCTAGGGCCCCGCTGTCCAAGGGGTTCAGGGGCTCATCCAAGACTGCGCACATGGTGCAAGTACAAAGGGGTCCCTACCTAAAAAGTTCAAGTGTTTGGAGAGTAAAATTGATTTTTAAAAATTAATCAAAACAAAAATAAATAATGAAATAAAATAAAATAAAAATAAATAAACCTAACCATAGATGGCAACACTCAACACGCCTTTGTTTACATCAGAACAGCTGTGTCTTTGTTTACATCAGAACAGCTGTGTTTTCCCGCTAATGGGTGAGTATGGCAGATTCCTCTCCAATTTTCTGTAGTAATTACACGTTATCTAGACTTGTACTGTGACAAATTAACTGAAGTGTTGTTGATAGACATTTATGTGTATGGATAAATGTTTGTTTTCGCCTCTAAATGTTAAGGGACAGGTTACCTGATAAAGAGCTTATGACCAGTAAAGACGCATGGACCAGTAAAGACGCATTTTTGGTAAAAATACTATAAAGAAAAACCTAAAAACGCAAACTGACTTCCGTTTGTAGGTTTTAAAAGCACTTTGTCCTGTCTTTAAGTCTTTATCATTTTCAATAACAGATCTCAATTGATTGATGTTCTACATCACTTCCGTCGCAAATGCTTAGTTTCAAGTTGCGACGGAAAGTGATGTAGAACATCAATTAATTTACTACATATTTCCCCAGAAACACATAAGCCACATCAGAAAATTGTTGGTTGGGTGAAACTGAAAATTGTGCCCTGCATTCTTTAATTCTCATGTCCTTATCTATGGTGGTAGGCCATATATCATGCAAAACATAATGATTAGTATTAGTTATGAAAATGGTAATATAAATACCATTGTGCATTGTTCTTGATCAGTATTGATTTCTGTTTAAGTAAATTGGAGATCAAGGAGGATGAATTAGTAAAATATTCGTAGCCCAAATTACTAACCTAATCTATGGTAAAAGTTCTGTATATGACTCCTTTCTGGTAACGTTTTGAATTTTTAGATGCGCAGCCAGAGGAAAGGGGGCTACAAGGGCCATATCCCCCCAATTGACAGAAAAAAAAATTTGATAATAATTAAAAAATTAATAATAATTGATAATGAAAAATTTGTATTTGCATGATTACAGAGAGTGATACATCCTCATTATGGCATCTGGTGAACGTGATGTTGGACGTTCTTATGCGAGTGAGTCACAGAAAAGAAAGAAGAAAATTCAAGAAGAAGAACAGAAATATTGATTTTCAGAATATAATTGATGATTTTGCCAATATGAAATCCAGAAAAAAGTTTATTTAAGAAGTGCCTGTGAATATAAACAATTCTTGACTTTCTTGAGTTTATATGATTTGATAGTCTTATGCATGATGCAATGATAACAATAATGGTCAGTGATTTATAAAGGGAATAATAGTGCTGTAGTGGTTATGGTGAATATAATAGGTACATGATGTCACTACTTTAATAGCCTAATCTAGTATAAAAAGGCCTGAGCTTGCTACCACCTGCAGCTCACAAGACCGCCATCCCCACGAGCCCCTTTGGGGTGGGGCAGATGGCAGACCAGAGGCCTAGCTTTTCCCTACGAGCCCCGTGAGGGCGGGGAATGTGGCTAGGCCTGGGGACAGTTTGTCCCAAAGATGAGGGGGTACTTGTACCTCCTCCCATGGGAGACTTAAGTCTCGAGACACTCCCCAGATAGGGAGCCAAGGCCGGGTCACCACTACTTGGAAAAGACCCGGGCCGGGTGAATACCGGCGAATAAAAAAAAAAAAAAGCCTAATCTAGTCTTGAGTTTATTCTCTTTAAAATGCATGATTTAACAAGATAGTTATAATGGCTGTTGGTAAATGGTTTTGGTTGTCTTGATGTACTTTCCCTATTAAATTTAATCTAAATAGCCAGAATGTATTTAATTAGACCTTAAACAGGCTCACACCGACCCCCCCCCCCCACCCCCAAGCTGGAAGGGGTCGCTTCGCTTACCCGTAACTCAAAGGGGCCCCGCCAATCTGAATAGCCTAGGGCCCGGAGACTTCTTAATCCGGCCCTGGTTATGGTACGTAGTTGTGGTACATGGTTATGGTACGTAGCTGTGGTACATGGTTATGGTACGTAGTTGTGATACATGGTTATGGTATATAGCTGTGGTACATGGTTATGGTACGTAGCTGTGGTACATGGTTATGGTACGTAGCTGTGGTACATGGTTATGGTACGTAGCTGTAGTACATGGTTATGGTACGTAGCTGTGTACATGGTATGGTATATAGCTGTGTACATGGTTTGGTATAGCTGTGGTACTGGTTATGGTATATAGCTGTGGTACATGGTTATGGTACGTAGCTGTGGTACATGGTTATGGTACGTAGCTGTGATACTGGTTATGGTATATAGCTGTGGTACATGGTTATGGTATATAGCTGTGGTACATGGTTATGGTATATAGCTGTGGTACATGGTTATGGTATAGCTGTGGTACATGGTTATGGTATATAGCTGTGGTACATGGTTATGGTACGTAGCTGTGGTACATGGTTATGGTATATAGCTGTGGTACATGGTTATGGTACGTAGCTGTGGTACATGGTTATGGTATATAGCTGTGGTACATGGTTATGGTATATAGCTGTGGTACATGGTTATGGTATATAGCTGTGGTACATGGTTATGGTATATAGCTGTGGTACATGGTTATGGTACGTAGCTGTGGTACATGGGTATGGTATATAGCTGTGGTACATGGTTGTGGTACGTAGCTGTGGTACATGGTTATGGTATATAGCTGTGGTACATGGGTATGGTATATAGCTGTGGTACAGGGTTATGGTACGTAGCTGTGATACATGGTTATGGTATATAGCTGTGGTACATGGTTATGGTATATAGCTGTGGTACATGGTTATGGTACGTAGCTGTGATACATGGTTATGGTATATAGCTGTGGTACATGGTTATGATATATAGCTGTGGTACATGGTTATGGTACGTAGCTGTGGTACATGGGTATGGTATATAGCTGTGGTACATGGTTGTGGTACGTAGCTGTGGTACATGGTTATGGTACGTAGCTGTGGTACATGGTTATGGTATATAGCTGTGGTACATGGTTATGGTATATAGCTGTGGTACATGGTTATGGTATATAGCTGTGGTACATGGTTGTGGTACGTAGCTGTGGTACATGGTTATGGTACGTAGCTGTGGTACATGGTTATGGTACGTAGCTGTGGTACAGGGTTATGGTACGTAGCTGTGATACATGGTTATGGTATATAGCTGTGGTACTGGTTATGGTATATAGCTGTGGTACATGGTTATGGTACGTAGCTGTGGTACTGGTTATGGTATATAGCTGTGGTACATGGTTATGGTACGTAGCTGTGGTACATGGTTATGGTATATAGCTGTGGTATATGGTTATGGTACGTAGCTGTGGTACATGGTTATGGTATATAGCTGTGGTACATGGTTATGGTACGTAGCTGTGGTACTGGTTATGGTATATAGCAGTGGTACATGGTTATGGTACGTAGCTGTGGTACATGGGTATGGTATATAGCTGTGGTACATGGTTATGGTACGTAGCTGTGGTACATGGTTATGGTATATAGCTATGGTACATGGTTATGGTACATAGCTATGGTACATGGTTATGGTACATAGCTATGGTACATGGTTATGGTACATAGCTATGGCACATGGTTATGGTACATAGCTATGGCACATGGGTTTTGGTACATAACTATGGCACATGGTTATGGTACATAGCTATGGTACATGGTTATGGTACATAGCTATGGCACATGGTTATGGTACATAGCTGTGGCACATGGTTATGGTACATAGCTATGGCACATGGTTATGGTACATAACTATGGCACATGGTTATGGTACATAGCTATGGTACATGGTTTATGGTACATAGCTGTGGGACATGGTTATGGTACATAGCTATGGCACATGGTTATGGTACATAGCTATGGCACATGGTTATGGTACATAACTATGGCACATGGTTATGGTACATAGCTATGGTACATGGTTATGGTACATAGCTATGGCACATGGTTATGGTACATAGCTGTGGCACATGGTTATGGTACATAGCTATGGGGACATGGTTATGGTACATAGCTATGGCACATGGTTATGGTACATAGCTATGGCACATGGTTATGGTACATAGCTATGGTACATGGTTATGGTACATTTTGACTATTTTCTGATAGTGTGAAAAATCAGAAATCCACTTGGAATTACAGGATATTTTCCACAGTGGTTAATTTGTCTATTGTGATATCACCTGTGTACTGTGACCTTATTGAATATTATATAAAGTATATTCTGACGTTATGGTAGACAGATGAACCATTATCTACAGTCTGCCATCACCAACAGCCTGGTTGAACAGATGTCAGACTTGGCTGCCGAGGTAGGAGAACTCAGAATACCAGTCACAGGTATAAGACAGGTTCAACAGGTGTTGACTTACCGTCATGGCGTCCATGTTAGAACACTGGTAGGCGCGACACACCGCCTGCTTCCATTTCTCACACGTAATGTACATAGGTGCTTTTACTGGTACCTGTAGCGGGACATACTGAGTCATTAATCAAAGTTTACGTAGGTTACATTGTTTACAAGGGTCTAGGAGACAAACAGGTGTTAGGGACTCTGATACTTGACTAGATGTTCCAACTAAATTCGTTGATACTTTGATATTCCAAAAGTTAACTTCTAAGCCTCATTGTTGGCTTAATAAAGTTTAGAAAATTTTAAATGAGCTCTTCCTAAATGACCAATATGTATATATATATATATATATATATATATATATATATATATATATTATATATATATATAGTATATATAATATATATATTTATTATTATTTTTTTTATTATCACACTGGCCGATTCCCATAAAGGCAGGGTGGCCCGAAAAAGAAAAACTTTCACCATCATTCACTCCATCACTGTCTTGCCAGAAGGGTGCTTTACACTACAGTTTTTTAAACTGCAACATTAACACCCCTCCTATATATATATATATATATATAATATATATATATAATATATATATATATAATATATATATATATATATATATATATATATATATATATGTCGTGCCGAATAGGCAGAACTTGCGATCTTGGCTTAAATAGCAACGTTCATCTTGCCATATAGGACAAGTGAAAATTTGTGTATGCAATAATTTCGCCAAAATCATTCTGAACCTAACGAAAAAAATATATTTGATTGTGTTTGCTTAGTTCTAAATTATTGTAAACGTATTTAAAAAATATTTAGTTGGGTTAGGCCAAAATAAATTGCTCTCTTTATAACAAGGTTAGGAAAGTTTTCTAAGATTCTTTTTTTTGCAAAATTAAATTTTTTTATATTAATATTAATGAAAAAAATATATCTTTAAACGTATAAGAGAAAATTTCAGAAAGGACTTAATTTTAAATAAGTTCTTGCTAATTGACCAGTTTTACATATTCTGCACGACATATATATATATATATATATATATATATATATATATATATATATATATATATATATATATATATATATATAAACACTGATCTCTGGCTGAAGGAGACTCGAACCTACGAACCTTAGGACAAGGTACGCAGTGCTTTACCAATCTACCCACACTGGACAATACCTTGGCGTGTAGCTTGCGCTACTCGTTTGATCCAAGGCAGCCATGCAAGGGACGAGATGAAAAGCTGTAAGCCTTCTCCCTGAAAGCTAGCTGCCTTGGATCAAACGTGTAGCGCTAGCTACACGCCAAGGTATTGTCCAGTGTGGGTAGATTGGTAAAGCACTGCGTACCTTGTCCTAAGGTTCGTAGGTTCGAGTCTCCTTCAGCCAGAGATCAGTGTTTTGTATATTTCGCATGCTCTCGCGAATTCCTTGCATATAATATATATATATATATATATATATATATAATATATATATATATATATATATATAATATATATATATATATATATATAAAACACAGCCGTTTCCCACCAAGGCAGGGCGGGCCGAAAAATAAAAACTTTCATCATTCACTTCATCACTGTCTTGCCAGAGGCACACTTACAGTATAGTTATAAAACTGCAACATTAACACCCCTCCTTCAGAGTGTAGACACTGTACTTCCCATCTCCAGGACTCAAGTCCGGGCTGCTGGTTTCCCTGAACCCCTTCATAAATGTTAACTTGCTTACGCTCCAACAGCATGTCAAGTATTAAAAACCATTTGTCTCCATTCACTCCTATCAAATACGATCGCTCATGCTTTAAGTCCAAGCTTCTCGCACACAAAATCTCCTTTACTCCCTCCCTCCAACCTTTTCTAAGCCAACCCCTACCCCGCCTTCCCTCCCCTACAGATTTATACACTCTCAAAGTCATTCTATTTCGTTCCATCCTCTCAGCATGTCCAAATAGCCTCAATAACTCCTCCTCAGCCCTCTGGATAACAGTTTTGATAATCCCACACTTCCTCCTAATTTCCAGACTACGAATTCTCTGCTTTATATTCACACCACACAATGCCCTCAGACATGACATTTCCACTGCCTCCAGCCTTCTCCTTGTTGCAACATTTGCCACCCATGTTTCACACCCATATAAGAGCGTTGGTATAACTATACTCTCATACATTCCCTTCTTTGCTTCCATGGATAAAGTTCTTTGTCTCCACAGACTCCTAAGTGCACCACTCACCTATTTCCCCTCATTAGTTCTATGATTCACCTCATCCTTCTGAATAATGACATTGGGGAGCATTTGATTGAACTTTGTTTAGAAACGGGTTTGGTTATAGGTAACACATATTTTAAGAAAACGAGGATAAATAAGTCCAATCTGATATCCAATCTTTCATAACCTATTTTTTTTTATACTTATCACCTTACTCTTTCCTATATTCATGTTTAGTTTCCTTCTTTTACACACCCTACCAAACTCATCCACCAACCTCTGCGACTTCTCTTCAGAATCTCCCAAAAGCACAGTGTCATCAGCAAAGAGCAACTGTGACAACTCCCACTTTGTGTTAGATTCTTTATCTTTTAACCTCACACCTCTTGCCAACACCTGAGCATTCACTTCTCTTACAACTCCATCTATAAATATATTCAACAACCACGGTGACATCACACATCCTTGTCTAAGGCTTACTTTTAGTGGAAAATAATCTCCCTCTCGCCTTGATACTCTAACCTGAGCCTCACTGTCCTCGTAAAAACTCTTCACTGCTTTCAGTAACTTACCTCCTATTTCATACATTTGCAACATCTGCCACATTGCACCCCCCATCCGTATCCACCCTGTCATACGCCTTTTCCAAATCCATAAATGTCACAAAAACTAATTTACCATCATCTAAATACTGTTCACCTATATGTTTCACTGTAAACACTTGGTCTAGACACCCTCTACCTTTCCTGAAGTCTCCTTACTTATCTGCTATCCTACTCTCCGTCTTACTCTTAATTCTTTCAATAATAACTCTACCATACACTTTACCAGGTATACTCAACAGACTTATTCCCCTATAATTTTTGCACTCTCTTTTGTCCCCTTTGCCTTTATACAAAGGAACTATGCATGCTCTCTGCCAATCCCTAGGTACCTTACCATATTCCATACATATATTAAATAATAGCACCAACTTCTCCAAAACTATATCCCCTCCTGCTTTTAACATTTCTATCTTTATCCTGTCAATCTCAGCTGCCCTAACCCCTTTCGTTCTACCCACTGCCTCACGAACTTCCTCCACACTCACAACTGGTTCTTCCTCACTCCTACAAGATGTTATTCCTCCTTGCCCTATATACGAACTCACAGCTTCCCTGTCTTCATCAACATTTAAGAATTCCTTGAAATATTCCCCCCATCTTCCCAATACCTCTAACTCTCCATTTAATAACTCTCCTCTCCTATTTTTAACTGTCAAATCCATTCGTTCCCTAGGTTTCCTGAACTTATTAATTTCACTCCAAAACTTTTTCCTATTTTCAACATAATTTGTTAATAACATCTCACCCTCTCTCTCATTTGCTCTCTTTTAACATTGCTTCACCACTCTCTTAACCTCTCTTTTTATCTCCATATACTCCTCCTTCCTTGCATCACTTCTTTGTATAAACCTCTCATAAGCTAACTTTTCCTCCCTTACTACTCTCTTTACATCATCATTCCACCAACCGCTCTTCTTCCCTCTCACACCCACTTTCCTGTAACCACAAACTTCTACTGAACACTCTAACACTATATTCTTCAACCTACCTCATACATCTACCCCATTGCCCATACTCTCACTAGCCCATCTGTCCTCCAATAGTTGTTTATATCTTACCCTAACTGCCTCCTCCTTTAGTTTATAAACCTTCACCTCTCTCTTACTTGCTGCTTCCATTCTCCTTGTATCCCATCTACCTTTTACTCTCACTCTACCTATAACTAAAACGTGATCTGATATATCTGTGACCCCTCTATAAACATGTACATCCTGAATGTCGTGCCGAATAGGTAAAACTTGTGATTTTGGCTTAAGTAGCATTGCTCTTCTTGCCGAATAAGGCATGCGAAAATTTGTGTATGTAATAATTTCGCAAAAATCATTCTGAATCTAAGAAAAAAAATATATTTCATTGTGTTTGTGTATTATTAAATTATTGTAAACGTATATAAAATATATTTAGTTGGATTAGGCTAAATTGAATTGCGCTTATTATAATAAGGTTAGGTTAATTTTCTAAGGTTCTTTTGGTACAAAATCATTAATTTTTATATTAACATAAATGAAAAAATAATATATCTGTAAATGTATAAGAGAAAATTTTATAAAGGACTTAATTTTAAATGAGTTCTTTCTAACTGACCAATTTTACCTATTCGGTACGACATACATAACACACACACACACACACGCACACACACGCACACACACACACACACACGCACACACGCGCACACACACGCACACACATGCACACACGCACACACGCACACACATGCACACTCGCACACACGCACACACGCACACACACACACACACACACACACACCACACACACACACACACACACACACACACAACACACACACACACACACACACACACAGAACAGCAGGAGGCCAAGGCAAGAGTACGACGAGAGCAATAGAGCGATGGTTGACACACTGGCTAGAGTGGCCAGAAGAGCTCATGCATGCAGGGCAAAGCTCCTGATCATGGGTGACTTTAAACCACAAGGAGATCGATTGGGAGAACTTGGACCCGCATGGGGGCCAAGATACATGGAGGGCTAAGATGATGGAGGGTGGTACTGGAAAACTTCATGTACCAACACGTAAGGGACACTACAAGAGAGAGAGGAGAGGATGAACCAGCAAGGCTAGACTTACTATTCACCTTGAGTAGTGCAGATATCGAGGACATCACATATGAAAGACCCCTTGGGGCCAGTGACCATGTGGTTTTAAGCTTCGAATACACAGTAGAGCTACAAGTGGAGGGAGAAGCAGGAAGGCCAGGACGAATGAAGCCAAACTACAAGAAAGGGACTACACAGGAATGAGGAACTTCCTGAACGGGGTTCAGTGGGACAGAGAACTGGCAGGGAAGCCAGTTAATGAGATGATGGAATAT